TTTATGAACGTTGAAAATATATGAAGAAGGTAGCAGTTGAAGTATTTCATGAAAGAGGTCAATAAACCAAGTGCTCCTTCAGCGATCGAGGTCCCACGTACTTATGTTGTTCTCCGTGTCCAAAAATATATGCTCGCAAGTTTGTAGCAGAAAACAATGCAAAATAATCCAGGTGGAGGGAGAAAATTATCGTGCTGCACCATGTGCAGCACGCTGCCGTACAGCGACGAATGAGCAATGGGTTGACCGATTTTTTTCTAGAAGGGCAGATTTGGCTGAAAATCTGCTCACAGCGGTACTTCGTCCTCCTGAACACGAATACCGCATCCGCTCCGCCCGGAAGGATGCGATTGGTGATTTAGGATATTCTGGCGCTAGCCACAGCGCCCGGCGCTAAAATACTTCAAGTCAACAAGTTCGGTTAAGACTTGTATGCGGGGTTATTTGAAATCCTGACTACGAAGATGACATTTATTCTTGGCGCCGGCGTTAACGTACGACACTAAGGTCATCTGCGCTTTGCTAAGACTAAGCCTGGCTCGAGGAGAATCTTTCCTTTTCCCAGTTTCAGCCTCAGCAGAGCGCTAAATAGCTGGTACTGAGAGATGATGTCATGGCTCGTTGATTCAGAGAATCGAATAACATCTACAGCGAATTTTTCAGCAAAATCCCCCCAAAACTCGAAAATTTTTTGAGTTTTTGGGGTAGGAATAGTTCAGTAGTGTCCAGCTCTCTTCATGGTCATTTTCTTCGTTACTTTTTGCGCTTCTCTTCGTTTGTACCCTCGTAACAGGGAAACGGTCGTTTTTAGACTCTCATTTTGGGGGGGTCGTACTAAGCGGAAAATGATCACAACGCGATGGCGTGCGCTGCTCACTGGGCAATGCGACGCTGTATGTAGTATTAGGCTGCCTCAGAAGTTCGCACTGTTTTCGAACATTTTCCCCATTTGAGTTTATTCCACTGAGAAGGAATTTTGATCAACAACATATATGTTATCTTCATTGGCAACTTGTAGCCAAACATCATGCAACAGGTGGTTGCCTTACTTACAGAAGCTTCTTGGTTCTGTGCCTAGAAATGCAGCTGAATCATTTTTGAGATATCTTTGAAAATCGTATTTTTTGACCCAGAAGATGGCCGTTAAGGCATTAGTTTAGATAGCGGTCGAAAAGAGCGAAGTCAGGGTTACAGTGGTAGGGTTCCCCAGCTAAACTTAGGATCTCGAACAGTGTCATTTTCGAAACATGTGACCCTGAGCTGTGATCGCTCGCTCTGTGCTCTGTGCTCCCGTTAATCATCGAGTTCTTCGAGCGGGCGCCAGTAACGTCTCCATTCGCAGCTCTGGAGCTAGGTCATTCATCATATTGATTTCACGACCTAGGTACACATAGCTAGAGCATTCAGAGATGGTCGTTCCGTTGAGCGTGAATGGGGCATCAGATACCAATCCGTTTCTCATGAACATCGTCTTCGTTAGGTTCAGCCGTAGACCGATTCTTCCACACGCGCAGTCGAATTCAGCCAGCATTCGTTCCGCTTGCTCGATGTTTGGCGTTATCAAAACGATGTCGTCAGCAAAGCGGAGCTGGTCTAGCTGCCGACAGTCGATCTTCCCTGGTTGCCCAGGGCTTCGATAACCGCTTCTGTCTCAACGGAGTCGAAGGCTTTCTTCAAGTCGATGAACGTGAGACATAACGGCATCTTGTACTCTCGCGATACTTCAATGAGCTTCGTTACCGTGTGGATGTGATCGATCGTGCTGAATCCTCTTCGAAACCCTGCTTGCTCGCATGGCTGTCCTTCGTCTAGTGTTCTTCCAAGCTGTGATGGAGTGGACAAACATTGCTCATCTGTGGTACCAAATGATTGAGATTTTCATCTTCTCCTTGCAGTCGATTACAATAGGGTTCACTGGTTACCCATAGCTCAGAGCGGAAGCGATTCCTTTTGGAGAATTGAGAAAGAAACCTCGTCACATACACATCACACCCCCCCCCTACTGGAATAGGATTGCGCGACCGGTTCTGCCCTTTCTGGAGGATCTAGCCGCTGGCGCTCCTGGAAGTGATTCACCTAGATTCACCTAGGTTCATCCAGTTCCTGTGGCGGGAGCGGGAGAGAAGTTGTAGACGGTACCCACAAGAGCTACGCTTCTATCTGTCAGCTCATGGGAAGAATTTTACCTATCTTCAATACTTTTCCAGTAAGCGAGGCCCTCTGTCATTTGTACTTTTGAAACAGTCAAGTGAGAACTAGATAGCGAGTTGGTTTGTACGAAATGGTTTGAACCAAGCAACGCAGTAGGTCCAATCCCAAGACAGGAGGCCTCCCTGAGCGAAGTTTTTCTCCCAGGTGGAAGTCACTCCAGCGAAAACGATTGAGCCATTTTATGCCGTAATGTGGAAGGTACCATCAGCAGCTGACTCGTACAGATGCCCCTAGTGGCTCCAACCACGTTGTAGCTTGGTGAAGATCCATATAGCGAAGTGTGTCGGAAAAGATGAATTCCAATTACCGTTTTAGATAAGAGAACAGCGACTGCGAAGGGCAGTGAAAAGCTGTGGAATGCTTACTCATCACACCTCCCATAGACCATGTAATCGGATCTCGAAATAGCTACGCAAAGGTCTGATACGAAATTCTAAAAAGGTCACGATTTTTTGGGACGATCTTATAATTTTAGTTCCCTTTGCTACACGAGTTCCCCATATGCAGCAGTTGGCCTAGTGCATGCCACAGAGAGATATCACACAACACAATGCACATGTTGATCTGTTCTTTGCCAATCGTAGATCGCTTATCACCACACGTCATAACGTGAAACGTGCTGATAATAGTCAACAGCTCCTTGCAGCGGTTGCATAGAAGGAAGAGTGGCATTCATGATATATCAATGTATCGTACCATTCGTATCATTTTCCTGAATGAATGTTCACGAGACTCCCCCCCCCCCACCCCTTTGTTTGTCCTGGCTGTACAGCGCACCTGAAGACGCCAGTGCCCTTTTTCACTCGACGTTAAAACAGCGGAAAATCAAGTTGTTCACGAAGAGGTCATCCTTTCAAATGGTTTCCACTTCGCGCAGGAACTCCTTGCCTACCTAGATGTTTCACGTGCTGCAAGCGATGCTGGTTAGTACTATCATGTGGTTATCTGGTTAAGGATGTTAGCACTAACCAGCATCGCTTGCAGCACGGAGTACTTACACGGAGTAGTAGATGGTCTTGCGTGGCGGCTCTGCAGTGAGCGCAGTACAGCACAATATTTCACAGTTTTTTTTTTCAATTCGTATGGGAACTTTCCATTATCTCATGCAGTAGAAACATGTTTACGATTCCATGTAACACTATGTGTATGGCCTTGAACACCAAAAGCATACCATATAATTGATTTCCCTTTTGAAGCCACTATCTGCAGCCTTCATTGATTCAAATGTAGTCGAAAGGTAGACACCGCTAGTGAAATGACATGGAGGCACCGGAGGCAAAAGGATCGACATCATTCTAGGTACCTGTATTACTCGTGCTGCACGAAACTTGATATTAGCCCTTCAGCTTCCTGGAGCTTGGGTTTGAACGTTATGCTCGCTTCTGATCCGAAGACCACCATCCCATACCCTTCTAGTTTTTCCATGTCGACGTACTCTTGAAATGACGGCTCTGTATTCTTTTATACAGGGGAGGCCAAAAAAAGTCACTTCGGTCGAGTCACATATCAGCAAAGTTTTCGCTGCTCAGACAGAGGACGTGTACGAGTACCAGGGCGGAAGATACCCAAGATATTCGTCGATGAGTAGGAGCAGGCTCTCTTCCATCACCTTCATGTACACCAAATGAAGTCATCGCAGCCTGACTGGAGAAGACCTTTGGAATTCATGTCACCTCCAAACAGCTGCGAAACTTCTAGTATGGAGTCACCCATGGATAGCTACCTGGAAAGCGTACTCTCGCTGGATGACTTCCAACATCGAGCAGCTCCGATAACGTCGCCACGGTCTAGGACATCATCTTCACCGCAGTCGCCAAGGCGCGGGTTGATGGTATGGACCGGACGTACCTGGAATGGAAAGACCAATATTTCTCCGTGGACCCCGGACTAAAGGTGAGCGCTGGCGGTTACATTGGACAGCTCGTGAAATATATCCACCTCGCAATCGAAATGAGTTGGAGAAACACTTGCCTACTTGGAATGGAAGGGAGCTGAGTACCCAAAGAAGATGGAATATTTGAGTGGGTAAGCCTGCCCTGAATTCCCTAAATTACCCGGTACAGGCAGTTCAATAGAGTGGTCTACAGGTGGCGGAGAAATCGACTACCTCGCTGATCTCAGGCACCACATCGCGGTCGCGTGCCAGAATCTCTCGATGGCACTCGTCCAGAAGGCTGTGGCGGAGTGCCATGATAGTATTTAATATGCTCTTTAATATGGTGGTAAAAATGTCCGATCAGAATTTAATAAAGTGTAACTTATAGCGCCTCGAAAGTCAATGAAGAAAAGTGACTTTTTTGCCCCCCCCTGTATATAATCCAGTAAGTGTGTCTGTGTGTGTGTG